TAGGGTTTAGGGTGATTCTTTCCGAAAATAAGGGACCCCAAATAGTAAGATTCCCCTGAAATCAAGGACCCCAATACGGCATCCCTCATATCGTACACCCCCAAATGGAGCCCCCGATCCCGCCTGTGCCGCTCCCCGACGTCAAACTTGTAGGCGAACCCACCACCTGGGGACAGGTGAGCCCCAAACCCTAAACCCTAAGCCTCAAACCCCAACCTGAGCCTCGAGACCAACAGTCACCAGCTTCCAAAGAGCAGGCTGCTGGGCTCCAAAAGAAAGCTTAAAAGAAAGCTTTCTGAAGCTTTTCAAGCACGGCAAGCTTTGAAAACCAACCTAGGAAAACAAAGGGGTACCCGTTTTGGTTAAAAGGGGGCCTCTAGGCCAGCCCCAAACCCGAGCAACAACGGGAACAAGGGCCTAGGAAAACTAGATTGCCCCAAGAAGTCTTCAGGGTTGAGGGTTTAGGGCTTGGAGAAAAGATCCTAGAATCCCTGCGCCAGAACACCCTGAACCTGCATCCCCAAAAGCCAAACACCCTGAACCCCACACCGGTTGAGGGTTTACATCCTCTCAGACGCTTGCAGGACCGTCCTGCCCAAACCCAGCCGGACGAAGCATTTCAAACCCTGCCCGCTTCAGGGTGTAGGGCTTCGGGTGTAGCTTTTAGGGTTTCAAGCCCCGGGAGGTTCAGCGTTTTTGTGGGATCCTGGGGCACACAGATCCATGCAGCGTTTTTCGACATGCCCCCCTAACATCAAAAACCCATCCCGAAATCTGAGTCCTAAATCCTGAGCCCTTGGCCGCACAGGATGTTCTTCATTGTGGGTTTAGGGTTTAGGGTTTAGGGGTTAGGGTTTCCTCTGTGATCTAGAAGAGCCTGATGCTCATCGCATCTTTGGGATAATCGCGTGCAAGCAACATGTAATTCACAGCAACGCCGACGACGCGTCCTCTCAATAAGACATCCAAACCAAGATGCAAGCCATCATGGAACACGACCCACCACGTACCTACACTGATTGTAAGCGCTGCACCCCCTTCATTCACAAAACACAATCAGACAAACAGCGAACAGCGACACAACAGACAAATTCGTGCAACAAAATCGACGCAACGAAGACAAACAAATGTCAAACACTATTAACAAATCGCGACAAAACACGGAATCTCCCCAACATAATCAGAAGCCTGACAAGCCTGAATGAGTGGCCAAGCCACTAGGACAATCTAAGCCATGGTTGGCAAACTCCTTTGGCCGCAACCAGGCAAAATGGGTGGCGCCTTTGCTTTTCCTGAGGCGCAAGGGGGGGCCTACTATTTGGGGGTCTATATTGGGTGTCCCCTCCTCTCGTAAACTCCCAAATCAAAGCCGGGCTGAGTATGGTTCGCGTGAAGGTTTGTGCCGGACTCCTGAATGCTGCACCCTGAACTCATAGCCCCAGAAGAAGGCAAGGGAAGCACTAAAGAACATGTAATTATATGATATGTATATATATATATATGTGTGTGTGTACATGTATGTATGTATATGCATCAGCAAGCAAACGCACTCATGTGTGTCGACATGTACATACTTGGCAGGCATGTTCGAATAAGGGCGCCCAATTCTTGGGTTGGTTGCTTTCTCAGGGCACCTTGAACAAAAAAAGGGGAAAAAGGATACCACTGGGCCACCAAGCATATGCGGGTCCAGTCTCGATTTAGGTTTCAGGGTTCAGGGTTCAGGGGTTCAGGGTTCAGGGTTCAGGGTTCAGGGTTCAGGGTTCAGGGTAAAAGCCCTGACGAACGAGACCAGTGCGAAACTGGCTATGTGTGGGGGGAGCCTCGGTTTGATGGTTCAGTGTTTTTAGGGTTTTAGTGCTCAGGGTTTTCAGGGGCTTTAGGGCTCAGGGTTTTAGGGTTTCGGGCTCCGGGCTTGAAGGTTTAGGGTTTCGGGTTTTAAGGGTTTGGGGTTTTAGGGTGTTGGGCTGTCGGGACTCTAGGCAACAGTTGCGTACCACATTCAAGAGTTGCGAGATTGTCGACATCTGTCGCTAGACCCGAAGCCCTTTGGAGCCCTAGACCCTAGACCTTTAGGAGCCCTTAGGAGCCCTTAACCCTAACCCCGAAACCCTAAAACTCTACCACCCTAAAACCCTAAACCTCTTCTTCACTCCACAACCAACATCGTGCGACTTCATCTGGGTTGGTCCCTGAACCTCGCAGAACAAAAATCTGCATAACATCAGGAAAAACATGCAACAATCCTCCTAGCACCTACCCCAAACCCTAAACCCTAAACCCTAACCCTAAACCCTAAACCCTAAACTCCACCCCCTAAACCCTAAACCCTAGCAAACCCTCACAATCCAAGTCGCAATGTGTCCAAGGTCACCTCCTGGAATCGGCCTGGCTCGCCGCGTGGGCCCGGAGTGCTAAACCCTAAACCCTAAACCCTAAACCCTAAACCCTAAACCCCAAACCCTAAACCCTAAACCCTAAACCCTGAACCCTACGCCCAAGAACGCAAGGTTTCCACGCCGCAACTGTAGGCGATGCTCCGAATGCTATTTTAGTAGCCCGGGAGGACCCCCAAGAAGGGTACCCCTAGTTCGGAACCCCCCCATATGTTAAACTGCATGGGGGTCTTCCTTATGAACCAAAGTCTAAACCCTAAACCCTAAACCCTAAACCCTGAAGCCTGAAGCCTGAAGCCTGAAGCCTTCTTAACTAAGGGCTCTCTGGGCAGAAAGCTCGGGCCGAGGCGGCCAGGCCCGTGGAACCCGAACTCTGAAATCTTGAGCTTTGGGACCTGAAAGCCCCGAACCTCAACCTCAACCTCTCTCTTAGGGCTTTTAGGGTAGTAGGCTTTTAGGGTAGTCGGGTTTTTAGGGTAGTAGGGCTTTGGGGTAGTTGGGTTTTAGGGTAGTCGGGTTTTAGGGTTTAGGGTTTAGGTCGGTGTGTGTGTGTGTGTGTGTGTGTGTGTGTGTGTGTGTGTGTGTGTGTGTGTGTGTGTGTGTGTGTGTGTGTGTGTGTGTGTGTGTGTGTGTGAAAGAGAGAAATATACGCAGCCCAAAGCCCTGAAAGCTGAAAGCTGAAAGCTGAAAGCTGAAAGCTGAAAGCTGAAAGCTGAAAGCTGAAAGCTGAAAGCTGAAAGCCCTAAGCCCTAAACCCCTTAAAGCGCAGGGCTTCTGTGAAAACTGCGCCTCCAGGCCCGAACTGTTCACCCTGCTCTGCCTTCTCTTGTCCCCTAGGAGATGTACGGCCAACTGCATGTCTTCAAATGATGATCACAAAACTGGGATCCCTAAAGCCTAAACCCTAAACCCTAAACCCTAAACCCTGAACCCTAAACCCTAAACCCTAAACCCTCTTAGGAGGGTCCCTGGCCTTGACGGAAGAGTGCCGCAGCCACGCCTTCTGGCAACGGCAAGGGGCGACCGAAGATCAAGCCAGTGCCAGCTGAAGCCGGGCCTTCAGAGTTAGGGTTTAGGAATTAGGGTTTAGGGTTTAGGGTTTAGGGTTTAGGGTTCAGGGTTTAGGAAGAGCTCGAGCGCAATCAGCAGAATCATGCTTGGCATGAGTTCTCACAGGACATAGCCTGAGTGGTTGCATGCTGGTGTTTGTAGGATTCGTCCGTCTCCTTCCAGTGATCGCTTCGGCTGCCAAGCGACTGATGGAAGTTGTGCCGACGACATTCAGCTCTGCATCAAAGTAAACATAACCTTCAGGAGCATGGCATTCATTGGTGTTGTTTAGGTCTTAGGGTGTGTGTGTGTGTGTGTGTGTGGGTGGGTGTGCAGCCCGTCGCCATCTCGTCCCGCATGTGGAGCCAAGTCGCCACCATACTCCAAGAAAGCCCGCTCCGGGCCGCTCAGCGTACAGATTATACTGGCATGCACGTCCCCCGCCAGCTCGGCCTGTCTCGAACCCGAAACCCTAAGGGGCGGCATAGAGCCATAAACCCTCAACCTTAAACCCTAAACCCCAAACCCTAAAACCTGAACCCTTAACCCTACAAAATGTTAAACGAAAAGGGCCCTGAATTCCATACAAGGTGCGGGGTAGGACCATGCGAAGAACTTTGCCAGCTCAGGGATGCCCGCTGCTGCCCGTGAAGCTGGAGTTAACGTTGTGGGATGCAGTGGGGAGCAGTGGCAGAACCTGACTCGGTGCCCGATAGTTTAGGGTTACTTAGGGTTGCCCTAAACCCTAAACCTTAAATACCCTATACCCCAAACCCTAGGGTGTTTGGGGTTTAGGATTTAGGGCACTTCATGGGCCGGTTGTAAGTGCTGTCAACCCCTGTTTTGTGTCACACAGGCACTGCCGACCCCCAGGAGACTGCTACAGGCCCTATCGAGCCGCCGCATGCACAGGGCCGATGGAAACTTCGATGCTCAAGCCCTCGGAGCCCCCAACGCCCCACTGTTACTGCGACGATTCCGAGTGCTTTTGCTCTGTTGTTGATCTCCTTGTTGGGTGATAAATGCCACTAGTGGCCGCTGAAAGCCCTAAACCCTAAACCCTAAACCCAAAACCCTAAACCCTAAACCCTAAACCCTAAACCCTAAACCCTAAACCCTAAACCCTAAACCAGCCGTCTCAGGCCCTGGCACAAATTCCCCGTCATTCAGGCCAATGTGGCAGGGGGAGAGGCCGACCATGAAGCTGCTTTGGCCTTTTTTGGGGTTTAGGGTTTAGGGTCTAGGGTTTAGGGTTAGGGTTCAGGGTGTAGGGGTTTAGGGGTTTAGGGGTTCGGGCTTAAGTAGGCTGCGTCTTTCTTCCCTTGAACTGTTCTCCCGTCTTCGACGTATGTAAGGCGTTGGACTGGGGCTTTGGCGAACAATGCTACAGATATGGGGGGTTTACGAAAGTAATGGAGCCCTAATATAAAGCCCCACATAACAGGATTCCCTTATAATCTGGACCCCAGTAAGGCACCCCCGTAATTTCGGCAACCTCCATACCCCTAAACCCTAAACCCTAAACCCCAAACCCTAAACCCTAAACCCTAAACCCTAAACCCTAAATAAACAGCCCCAGCAGCTTTGAAGATCCGGCTTGGAGACTTGCGTGTGGCGGAAATACTCGTTGAAACCTTCTGCCATCTGGGCATTGACCATGACCTCTGCTGGAACAGCGGCCGGACTTTCATGAACTTCCTTTTGCTGGTTTAGGATTTAGGGTTTAGGGTTTAGGGTTTAGGGGGCTAGGCTGAAGGCACGCCTATGTCACAAAAAACCCGGTTTCCCGTGCGGATGTGCACTGTGAATTCACTCCTCTCTCTGAGCGCGCGGCAAACGGGCCAACTGTGTTGGGAAACTCCAGATTCAGCTGCTCTGCGTCGAAGCCAAAGGTGCCAATGGGGTACGTCACCTTCAGAGGATTTGTTGACTCAGGGTTTAAGCTTCGAGCTTCGGGCTCGAGGCTAGAACTTCGGGCTCAAGCGCCTGCGCAGGACCTCCCGCAGAGCCTTGTCACCCCCCCATCTTCCCACACACACAGGGCCCGCAAACACCCTCAGCCCTAAACCCCAAACCCTCAACCGTAAACCCTGAACCCTAAACCCTAAACCCTCTGTCTCTACCCTTGCGCCTCCTGCAGCAACGCCGTACGGATCTCCTTTTCAAGTTGTATAGGGTTTAGGGTTTCGAGCCTAGGGTTTTTAGGTCAAGCTGCGTCCCGGCAACGACAGTGGAGCAGATGAACCATGCTAGAAACACATGAGCCTCGCGGCTGTCTTTAAAAAAAGTGCTGTCGTGTCTGCGACCCATACGTGCCAAAATCGCCACCTAAGCAAGTACCAATATTATCCTCATTATAGGACCCCTGCATACTGACAAACACAAAAAATAATGTGTGTGTATGTGCGATTTTTGTGTTGGGTACTCCCCCCCACAAAGATCCACCGTTCATCGGAAAAAGGAGCTCAGGTGCCACGGTCCAGCAGCAGATCGTTGAGGGCAGCAGGGGTTTATTGGGGACGTTTTGCCCTCTCAGACTCGCGAAATGCTGGTTTGGTGTTCAGTTTGCATGTTCAAAACCTCCTCTAAACCCAAGAGGTGTGAGGGCCTTCCAGCTCACACTTCCACACTCACGTGCCATGAAGTCCCAATGTTTTGGGTCTTTGCATGCGTTTCTGTTTTTTCCGGCTTTTCTGGGTTAGCATTGCATATATATATACACATAAGGTTGTATTATGCGTTTGTATATGTATACATATACATATATATATATTATACATATACACACATATATTTTTGGCCTAAGTACCGATACTTCACTGAGCCCCTGCCGGCTTGACATCTGCAGCTCCTTCGCCTCTTCCTCAGGAAGTTGTCGCGTGACATCCACACCTGGGCCCACACAAGCTGCAGGTTTCACCGGCCTTCAATCCTAAACCCAAGAAGCCTAGTTGTTCAAAAAGGCACTTGCACAGAGGTGCAGGGCTTGAAATTCAGGACCCTAAGCCCTAAATCCTAAACCCTGAATTCTGGGTGCTTCGGGTGACTCCCGACCTTCTGACACACTAGCAAAGCTCGAGCTGACCCCCGGGTTGCGGGATCGAAACTGGGGGCCAGGCTGGTGATACCTCTCTTGATTTAAAGGGGCCGGGAACCTAAACCCTATAAAAAGGGGAACAAGGGCCCTCGTCTTAGATACTTGTAGACTTATAGCTTCTTTCGGAATACGAGATATACATATGTAACATATGTACGTATACAAATTTTACCCATGATACTCCGTGCCACACTAAAATCTAAGCCCTAAACACTGACCCGACAACTTCCGACCCGAGCCCTGGGCAAGCTCAGGGGTTAGGGGTTTAGGGTTTAGGGGTTAAAGGTTTAGGGGTTAAGGGGTTTGCGCATGGCGCAAAGATCTTTGGCAAAGCTTTGACCGGACGTTTGGCCGAACCTGTTTCATTGAAACAGAAATTCTCATTTCAATCTTGGGGGCGTTGGGTGGATCGCATTTTCTCAATTTCCTGCTTCATGGCATTCGGAAGGCAAGCTGGCTTGAATCCCGTTTTGGTTTGACCCCCAAGCTGCAGCACGTGAGCAAGGCCAAGCCAGATGTACTTTCGGGTTCCACCAGCTTCCGGCTCTTCTTGGGGCTGCAAAGGCACTTTTTTAGGAGCCTTGATGTGCGCTCGTTGAATTTTGGATCAATTCACTTAAACTCGGGTTTTTGGAACCTTTTTTGGAGACTGGGCTTGGCGCGCCAGTGGCCTGTTCAGACGAATGACATTGAATATTCACAGTGATCTGTTGGCAAGTGCAGAGCTTCAAGTAAGCTGAACATTTCTGCCTGTTGGGTTTGGAAAACCGTCAGAATTGCTGGTTGTAAGTGATGCGTGTACAACGTCTATGAGACTTGAGTTGCAAGGCTTAAGGCTTAGAATGTTCAGCCCTCGACTCCGCTGCTCCATGCGAATCGACGACGACGATACTAAACGACATCGACGACGACGATGACGACGAGGAGGAGGAGGAGGACGACGACGACGAGGAGGACGAGGAGGAGGAGGAGGAGGAGGACGACGACGACGACGACTACTACTACTACTACTACTACTACTACTACTACTACTACTACTACTACTACTATTACCATTCCTACTACTACTACTACTACTACTACTACTACTACTACTACTACTACTACTACTACTACTACTACTACTACTACTACTACTACTACTACTACTACTGCTACTACTACTACTACTACTACTATACTACTACTACTACTACTACTACTACTACTACTACTACTACTACTACTACTACTACTACTACTACTACTACTACTACTACTACTACTACTACTACTACTACTACTACTACTACTACTACTACTACTACTACTACTACTACTACTACTACTACTACTACTACTACTACTACTACTACTACTACTACTACTACTACTACTACTACTACTACTACTACTACTACTACTACTACTACTACTACTACTACTACTACTACTACTACTACTACTACTACTACTACTACTACTACTACTACTACTACTACTACTACTACTACTACTACTACTACTACTACTACTTGTGAGCAGGTCTAAGCACGCACGCTGCATGTGCAGAGCTGCCAGAACCAGTACTGTAGTTTTCTTTGCATGTGTAGTTTTGCAATTCGTAACAATGCCAATATTTTGGCTCAAGTACTGAGCTTGTGCCTTTGAGCACGGTAGAGTCGTACAGTAGCTCTTAGGTTGCTGTGCGGTCCGACCGGACGCACTCAGGCGTAGCTGCACAAGTGCTTGAACTCGCGAAGTCGTAAAACAGCGTGACCGGGCTGTGATTGCATTGGCTTAGTGCAAGTCCAGTGCTGGTCGACTTCACAATTGGGGGCTGTTCTGGGAAACGTACAGCTCTTGTGCCTACGGCCCGAGTGGGCAAGCATTGCTTTGCTTGTCTGTCGCGGTCCGTGACCTGGACGCGTGGACTGTGTGCCACGCTTGCGGCCTGTTAACCGAGGCGCGGCGCTTCGCGTGCCACGCCTGCGGCCTGCTAACCAAGGCGCGGCTTTTCGCCTTGTGTTGCGGCAATGTCCGCAGAGGTTGCAGGTCAGGCAGAGGGCGTCACCCTCCTCGAAGCTATCGAGGGCGGAGACGTTCCCTATCCCGAGCGGATGAGCTACGTCGCTTGGCTTAAGTGGCGTAGGGAGACTGGCAGCCGTCCGTTGTCCAAGCGGGATGGGGTCAGTACTACGCCAGAGCAAGAGGCGGCTCTCTGGCGGAAAGTCATGAAGTTCCTCCATGACGCCGAAGACGAGGACGAGGATGAAGAGGAAGAAGAAGAGGACTCCGAGCTAGTCCCTGAGGCCTCGGGCGCTGGAGGCGACAGTCCGCCGCGGGTGGACGTCAGCGCCGCGGCTAGGGAGCTGGCCATGGTCCCTGCCGGTGCTGCCTATGTCCCTGCTACGGCACCAGGGTCCCGCCCGGCGGGACCGTCCGGTCCGCCGTCGACAGCAGGTTCAGTGCCAGGCACCGCTGAGGGCTTGCAGGCGGAGCTGCGCGCGATTTTCCGTCCAGACCAGGAACCGGTCGCGGACTACTTGACGCGCGTTTCGCGGATTGTCCTCGCGCTGAAAGCGCATGGAGTCACGGTGAGCTCCCGTGACCTTGACGCCTTAAGCACCAAAGCCACCCTCCTTGCGGATGAGTTCTCCAAGATAGGCGGGGACTGGCATCCTACGAAGATGGTCCGTCGGCTGCGGACCAGGTTCTCGGTCGCGGCTTTGCGCGGTGGCGAGGACCCCGAAGACGCAGAGGAGATTCAGCGCGAAATCCAATGCATCGGGGAGCTTATCCTCGCGTTGGGGGGAAAAGAAAGCTCGAGCCAAGAGAAGGTTTGGAGCTCCCCGTCCGATGTGCCAGTTGAAGCCGTGGGGCCGCGTTCCCCAGGGCTCCCACAGCCTGCGACTGCAAGTGGGTTGGGGGTAGGATTGGACCGTGGAGGTTTGCACACTGCAGAGGTTGCAGGTGGTCCTTCCGCGGCCCGTGTCCTGGGCGCGACGGACGGCGATTCCCCTTTGCGCGCGAAGCTTGCGGCGCTGGAGATGGAGATAGAAGCCCTGAAGCGAGGTTCAGACGGCGGAGGTTCGCAGACCGGGTCCCAAACCCGGCGGGCGATTTCGCCGCCGCACTCGCCGCCCAAACTGAAGCGCTGAAAGAAGCGTTAGCGCAGAGGGGCGGGCAAAGCTCCATAACTACGGTCAAAACTGACCTCACGTGGCCGACGCTGACCGACGACAAGTCGGACGCGCGAGACGTTGTCTGTTCTACGAGGAGTTCGAGGACGTCTGCGCGCTGGCCAACAACTGTCGCGGTATGAGTGCGCGCGAAAAGCTGCTAGCGCTACGCGGGCGCTGCCGCGGCTCGCGCATGAAGACGTACACGAACGCGTACCGCGCAGCGTGGAAGTCGGGAGAGGTTCTCTCCGATCCACAGGCGGTGTACGACCGCATCAAGAACAAGCACTTGATGTTCGGGGAATCGCGGGAGGAAAGAGAAGTCCGCGTGGATGGTGAGCATGGCTCCCTCGCTAAGGGTAAGCTCACAGGCCACCAATTCGAGCCTTTGTTTGAGGCCTCGATCGCGGACCTTGAGGCGGTGGGTCTTGGGAAGACCCCACGAGAGTTGTATCTCTCGTACCTCCGCAAGATGCCCCCGTATCTCCAAAAGGAGATACGGAACGACAAACGGTTGTGGCCTGGCGATCCCAAGGATGGCGGGTTGCGAGGACCGCAGACTTGGGAGGAGAGCCACAAGGTCGTCTGGAGTACGAACAGAGGGAAGCAGCTCACAGGGCTGTTTCCCACTCTGTGTACACAGCGACCGGCTCGCAGAGCGCGGACCCGTCGGTCGCGCTAGCCGAGGCTCAGAAGGAGATTAAGAGCCTCAAGGCCGCTGCGAAGGCTGCTGCGAAAGGAGCAGCTGCCGCGGCCAAAGCTGGCGCGGACCAGACGTTCGCCGCTGCGTCGAAGGGAGCTGGCAAGGGAGCGGACAAGAAGATCTGCTTCCACTTTCGCGATCATGGGAATTGCCCGAAAGGGGATGCCTGCCCGTACAGCCACGACAAGGAGCTTCGCAGAAAAGCTCTCGCGGCCAAAAAGGGTGACCAAACCTTTGCCACTGCGAAAGGTAAAGGCAAGGGGAAGGGAGGTGGCAAGGCAAAGGCCAACGCAAAGCCTAAGGCTGCGGCCAAAGGCGCGGCAAAGCCACCAGGCACTGTTTGCCCCTTTTTCTCCAAGAATGGGTCGTGCAAGAAAGGAGCCAGCTGCGACATGGTCCACAACCTGACGACCTCAGGAGGGACGCCGGCCTTGCCTGCCAACTGGGCCCCGCCCTCCGGTGCTTCCATGTCTAACCCCTTCGCCGCGTTCAGTGTCCAGATAGGCAGCTCAGGCGTCCAGGCAGGCGTCTGAGGAGCCGCAGGACACGCCGCGGTGCAGCAGCACGCGCTTCCGTTAAGCAAGGGCGGGCGGGACAAGTTCGCCACCCTGGACGATCTGCCGAAGGACTGGTGGAACCTGGCGGACAACGAGCCAGGAGGCTACCAGTACAGGACGGTGGTCCAGGTCCTCGACCGTAAGGTCGAGTGCATGCTCGACGGATGCGCCGGCGCAAACCACGTGACCGAGGAACTCGTGGTGGGCATGATGAACCGGGCTGCAGAGCTGGGGATCGGCACCGAGGATCCCGGCTTCCCGGTCGTGAGACTCGAAAAGTGGGTCCACCCCGAATACGTGCATGGAATTGCTTCGGGAGCCCCCGTTCCTCTGAAGGGGGCAGCAGTCTTGCGCGTCACGCTGCTGGAAGGCAG